TCCCTATGCGAGTGATGCGAGTGTGCACATAGGCACACACACTCACACATGCTCCTCGTGTTCCAGCATCTGCAGGTGGGAGAACCCCGTCTCCCATAGATCGTCTTTGTGCATACTGACCTGCAAACAGAGCCATCTGGAAGAAGGCAGGTTCGAAGTGAGTGAGGGGCAGGGTGAGCCGTCCTTCTAAAGAGCCATGCTAAGGTTCTTGCCCTGGCTTCTCTGCAGTCTGAGATGGGTAGGCTCTCGATTCAGCTGTTACCGAAATGTGGGCATTTGTGCCCTCTCTGAGATATGTGTCGTAAGTTGCCAAACCATGTCATAGAAAATTAAGGAAAAGTGTGTTTTTGAAAATAAGTTAGTGTGATTTTATTGACTCCCAAAGAAACTCGTGAATGTTTTATATTATTTCAGAGACTAGCAACATTTCCCTTCATCATTTCTAGTCAAGGGTTTCCAAGAGGCTGCTGACTTTTTCTTAAGCTCCTTCCTTTTTGGGGCACCTGGGTGGCTCAGTGGGTTAAGCCTCTGCCTTTGGCTCAGGTCAAGATCTCAGGGTCCTGGGATCGAGCCCCGCATCAGGCTCTCTGCTCAGCGGGAAGCCTGATGCAGGAAGCCTGCTTTCCCCCCCCCCCTCTCTGTCTGCCCCTCTGCCTACTTGTGATCCCTCTCTCTTTGTCAAATTAAGAAAAAAAAAAATCCTTTCTTTTCTTTTCTTTTTTTTTTTTTTTGATAAGCTGGGGGTTTCAATGTTTCAGGTTCTTTGCAGGACTGTCTTCTTGGGAGGTCAAGCACAGCGAGGGGTCTTTCACTCAGATGAAGGATGGGTTGATGGGGCTGGTCACTTGCAGGTCAGCTCTGAAGCCCCATTCACACTCAACTAATCACCAGTGGCTGGCGTTGAGAATCAGAAAGCAATGCAGCTGTCCCATCCTGATGTGAAGATGGCTTAGAACCAGGGAACTGTCTGAACTCAGGATGATTCAGTGATCCTGAGAGCTTCAGGGGTAAGTTTCAAATTGGCCCATCACTGACATGTGGGTGAGTTGGAAGTTTAGAGTTAGACAAAAGAAGGAGAAAGAAGGGCTAACAATGTTGAGATTTTAAGTGGTGGGCTGTCCATAGTGGATCAAATAAAACAATTTTTTGTTGTTGTTGTTTTTAAACCTGGGTAGTTTGTTCTTTACAAAGCAGTTTGCCATTCTCTGAACCAGTGACTTCTTTAGCTACCAAAGCTTGCCAAACATTGATTTAAAACGACTTCTTTCATGTTAACAGCATACATATGGAAGGAGTAACTTTATAAGGCATTTTTATAATTTGAGATGATCTTATTTAAGGAGGAATCTTGCAATTACCTCTTTTGCCCCAGGAAAAAATAGCTCTCCCCCCCCTTGTCTGGTTATGAAGATAAGTTGTTTTGCTTTAAATAAGGAAAATGAGGGTTAATAGGAAAGATATAAAGGAAGATAAAAAAATGTTCCTGGAAAGAGCAAATAACATTATTAAAGGATGAGGAGGCAGGAAAAGAAATTGGAAATAGACTAAAAGATTCACTCATCTTTCATCAAGAAAGATGACAAATTAGCAGTCTTTAGTTATAAACGTCAGAAAGGGTGAAGGTGAATGCTCATATGTTTACCAAATCCTAGAGGATTAAGAAGAGGTTCCAAAAAAAAAAAAAAAAGTCACCGTTTTTCATATGAGCACATAGTTGAGGGTCTAAGAACCCCAAAAACGACCTGGGCAACAAATATAATTTAAACAGGAGAGCAAAGATAGCAGATCAAGGATGGCAAATACTTAGCATGTCTATACTATTTCTATTCTGCACCCATGACAGATATTATGAATTGATTAGGCTGCTTTTTCTAAGTAAATTAGATAGATGCACAGTGTGACAGAAAGTCAATTAACTACAGATGACCCTTGAGATGAAACCCTTTGTTACCTATGGTTTAGCCTCACTACTCAAAGTGTGATCTCCAGACCACCAGCATGGGCATCACGTGAGCGCTTATCCTGAAAGCAGAATCTCAGCCTTCTTCCAGACCTGTTGAACCAAAACTGTATTTTAGCAAGATCGCCAGTAATTCCTACATTCAAAAAGGTTTAGGGCGCCCTGGAAGAGCACTGAGTGTAGGATATATTCCTTAGGGTAGAAACCCTGACGCTTCATGCATCACCATCACTGACTTAAGGGCTTGTTGAACCTAGATTGCGGGACCCCACCTCCGGAGGTTTTGGATGAATTGGTCTGGGTGGGATTTCCAAACAAGTGTCCTGCTTCTGCTGCTGCTACTGGTCTGGGAACCATACTTTGGGGTATCTCTGTGAACTTTAAAGTTGAAGACTGCAAGTATCTTCCCATAACTCTCTGTACATCTGAATGAACCAGAGTTCTGGGTAAGAGAATCCTAAGGTTTAATCTAATATAACATTTCTTATAACACTATGTACTTGAGTCTAAAAGGCTCTCCTCCTGGAGGATTGGTGCTATCCTCATTCACTCATGTATGCAGTAACGATCTGGGTAGCCGTTCTGTCCACAGCATTATATTTGATGCCAAGAGACTCACATGAAGGTTAAAAACCGCAGCTCCTAATGGGGCTTACTCTCTGCGAAGAGAATAAACATGAAATGCTAAATAACATGGTGACATTAGATGGCAAAGGGCTGAGTACTAAGTAAGTGGCACAGACCACATATGATTTAATTTCAGAGAGAGGGAGAATACCTGGGTAGCTATTTCAACCTAGCTAGAATCGCTGTTTAGAGTGGGTGGAAGATAAGGTGGCCCAGGGAGCAGGCCAGGGTAAGAAGGCACCTTTTCATTTGTTAATGCTGCTTTCAGAGGTTGTTTTAAAACTTTCAGTTTTCCTTTGGTCTGGGTAATGATAAATCAATGCTTTCAGTATTGTAAATCACGCTACAGGGTGGACATACAGGGAAAACCTGTTATCTTAGAGACGAAGAAAAAAGACAAATAGATTGTAAGCAGAGATGACTGGGATGGTGGAAAGCGGTAATTTAGGAAAAGGGATAATAATGCCTAACTTCTATTGACCCCTTACCCTGACAGGTACTTATGCTTAACTGACATGTGCTATCTCATTTAATCCAAACAACCTCGCATGATATAAATGTAGTCAAACCTCCTCCTTTACTCCAAGTGAAACCCAAAGCTTTGTAAGGATGCATATCTGATGAAAGAACTCGCCAAGTTTAAATCCAGGCAATGCTCCGGGGTGGGGATGCTAGTCCACGAACTGCAAGGGTTTGGGCCTGTCTGGATCCTGCTTTCCAATCCTCATATACTGTACGTCAGGGAGGAACCCAAAGAGCAACTGAGAAGACAGAAATCCTCAGACGCATTCAAGTCGAGGAACCTGTGGGGCCAGTGCGTCCAAGGCGCGGACAGGGAGGGGCTCCTACAAGAAACGAAGCAAGGGTTAGCGTGAGACAGCCGGGGTCATGGAGCCTCTCCTGGCTTCCTCTGGCCACCCTAATGACAGAGTCTGTGGTAGGTTGCGAGCGGGAGCAGACTCGGGGTGGGAGTCTTCCCTGGGTCCTGTATTTGCCTATAAATACTTCAAACAGTTAAATGAAAAGAGCAGCCTTTGAAAGCTGGAGAGGAAGCTCTTGGGAGGCCCCCGGCCCGCCTGGAAGTGCAGGCAGAAAAGAGGAGAAATGGCTGGCGAGTCCTTAGCGCGGGAGACGAGGAACAGCCAGCCCTGCCCAGTCCAGACAGGGGGCAGCCGCGCGGCGGGCGCGATTCCGGAAGATTCAAACCGTTAAGGTGACCAGAACAATTTGAAAAAAGGAAACAAACTTCCCCCCGAGTCTTGCCCGCGGGGCCCCGAGGCGGGCCTTTGCATTCGAAAGGGCATTTTTCAAAAGAAGGTTTCAGGGACGCGGGAGTATCGGCCCGCTGGGAAGCGCGCAGCAGGAGCAGTGCCGCAGAGCGGCCACCAGCCTGCTTTGTACTTGGCGGCCGGCGCGGCCCCAGAGTTTCGACCGCGGCCCGGGAGTTGAGGCCACGCCCCCTTTGCAGAGAGGACTGCAGGCGCTGATTGGCCCTTCACCGGCCAATGGGCGCGCCGGGGCGGCCCGGGCTGTCAGCGCGCGCCGCAGCCGAGCCGGCCGCAGCCTGTCCTCCCCTGCTCCGAGCCCCGCAGCCAGCGCAGCCTTCCCGGGGAACCGGGCCGCCGCTCGCGAGCGCAGCCCTGCCCAGCCGGCCAGCCGCGCGTCCGGGTGCCCGAGCCCCACGGCCACAGCCTTGCTGCGCTTTAGCTTACGGAGCATGTGCAGACCTGCTGGCGCTAAGGTGCTATCTGTCCGGGGGACTTCTACCGAGCGGTGACTGTCACGCCTAGAGAGACCTTTCGGGGGCTGTCGCCGCGCCTCTGCGTCGCGGGTGACACTGCGGTGCTCGAGATCGGGGCAGCAGCTGCCTCTTGGTGGAGGCATCTTGGGCTCCGTGCGTCCTCCCTCTCCTTCCTCCTCGGCTTCCTCCTTCCCTCCCACCGCTGCTCGCTCCTACCCTCGGCCGCTGACACCCGCAGCCTCCTGGACCGGGAGGCGCCCATCCCCGCCGTTCCTCTTCCAAAGGGGCCTCCTCACTTCGGAGATGCAGTGACAAGTTAATATGGGCGTCCAAGCCTCGGCTTCCCAGGAGGAGAATCGCAAGAGGGAACAGCCCCTGAACGCCCAGACCCCTTGAACAGGCCGCCCAGGAGGGGCGTGAAACTCGGCTGCAGCATCCGTCCAGGTGGGACCCGCTGAGCGCCACGACCAGTCCTCTGCTCCATCCCGCAGGTGCGCTTGCGGGTTTGCTGTTAACTCCCCGACCCGGGGATATTTTTTTTTTCCCTCCCTTGGTGGTGGGCGCCTCGCGGGCCGAGGCCCGGCGCCTGCTCTGCTACCCGCGCTGCCTTTAGCGGTTGCCTCCGCCGCCGCTGCCAGGGACGTGCTGGGAAAGCCGAAGCCCCGGGAGAAGATGCCGGCCATCCTGGTCGCCTCCAAAATGAAGTCGGGACTGCCCAAACCCGTACACAGCGCCGCGCCCATCCTGCACGTGCCCCCAGCCCGGACCGGTTCCCAGCCTTGCTACCTCAAGTTGGGAAGCAAGGTGGAGGTGAGCAAGACTGCCTACCCCAGCCAGATCCCCCTGAAATCCCAGGGGCTGCAGGAGCCGGCGGGGGAGGGGCTCCCGCTGCGGAAGAGCGGCTCGGTGGAAAACGGGTTCGATACCCAGGTGAGAGGTGCTGTGAGCCGGGGCGCTGTTGAGGCGGGGGGCGAGGTGAATACTTCTTGGGAGTAAGGTGGATTGGCTGGACGGGGGAAAGGGCTGCCCGGTGGGCGGAGAAGGGAGCCATTCCACTTAGGCTGGCAGATCTGGGGATGCGCGCGGGGGAGTGTGCTGGCCGGTGGGTGTGGCCGGGTGCCGGTGGTTTGCCTTAAGGAGCTCTGAGAGACCAGGGTGTGGGCACGCCCGCAGCTCCCTTCTGGGGGCACGGGTGGCGTGCTCACACACACACAAACCAACCAACCAACCAACCAAACAAACAAACAAAAAACCCACAAAAAAACAAAACAAAAAAACAAACCAAAAAACCCAAAACGTGCAGCTCTGGAAATGTCAGGTCCTGCATGTTGAGAGCTTGGCCTCAAGAAGGCAGTGTCTGCTGCAACGGCTGGCGGGCTGGCGGTCTGCAGAGATTCTGTCTGCCAAGGAATGGTCTGAGGCCTCCTTGGGCTCGACGCCCCCAGGCCTGGCAGCAAGACCTAGGCAAAGGGGTCTGGGGGTTGCCATCAACCTGCTCTTTTCGGCCGGATGATGGCCTGCCCCTGCCCGTCCCTTGGGGCGAAAGGATTCCAGGCACGGTGCTGGGACTGCCATGGTATTGCCCGGTGCACCAGCTGAGGCGGGCAGCTGGAGACTCCCAGCGTCCTGGCCGGCGGTTACGGTGGGGGTGGGGGAGGGGTGGGGGGGTGGCTGCCTCCAAAAGGCTCCCCCGAAGCTAAGCCCCTCCTTTCAGGGTAGTAGATCCTGGCGCTGGTAGCCTGCCTGACCCGGTGTGGGGATGGGGGATGGTTGCGGCTTGAAGAGAATTGGTGACTTTTACCTTTCCCGACAAAGCCTGCATCACCCAGTTCGGCTGGGTGACAGGCCCTGGTCGGCAGTCTCTTTTAAGGAAATCCGCAAGGGCCAATCAGGTTCTCTTGGCCTCCTGCCCTCCCTGCTCCTTCCACCCCCCACCCCCATCTGGTAGGAGGGAGCAGGGGCATGCTCTATTTTCTTGGCAGTCAGTCAGCAGGGACTTTTGGGGACAGGCTGACCTGACGGATGTGACTGTCCCAGTCAGGAGAGGCGGGAAGCCAGAGGGGGAGGTGGTTTGGGGCTGGTGTCAGGGAAGTGGCAACAGACCAGCTGACCTTTTTGGCACTTTCTTCTCTGCTGACACTGTCTCCACCTTCTCCTGGAGCTTTCTCTGATCAGAGGCTAGAACTCAACACATTGCTAGCCTGTCCGATGGAGGAACTGGAGCTGGGAGCTAATCGTAAGCAGACTTTTGGAACTCTGGGCTGGAGAAGGCCCTCGAGCAGATTAAGCTCCCACACCAGGCTGATAAGCATGCCCCTCGCTACGGCACTTGCTAAACATTTTTGGAAGCTGACAGGTTTGAGTGATGGTGTGTGGGAGGAAGGCAAGATTTCCCCCTATGCTCCCGGGGCCTGTCTCTGCTAGAGTTTAGCTCTCTGTTCTCTTTTTCTGTTGTTAGCCACAGGATTGGTCCAGTGGGCTCTGAAATGAGAATGAGCTCAGGGGTACATTCTTGTGAGGTTTTTCCTATCCATCCTTGGAGGTGGTGCTTATGAGGTATGGTGGGTGGTATGTGGGAGGTCAGAGCAGTGACTCTGGGATATGACACACACCCTTCCAGCCTGATGAGGAGGATCTGAGGAATGAGAGGGAAAGTGGACATTGTTTCTGCCCAGGAAGCTCTTCTGCCTTTGCCCATTCGACCCTATATTTAAAAAACATTGTTGGAGGACTTGCACTGGGCAGGTTCTGGAAAGGTGATTCATCACCCTCTTTTCTGAAAAAATGTTTTCCAGCTGTTCCTGGAGGGGCTGGCAGGGTCCTGGTCCCTCACGACTTAGCTTCCCTCTCTTACTCTTGGCCCACCATCCCCAGAATGCCGCCATTGCACCTGCCTTGACCTCAGTAGGACCTTGTGTGCTGATCATGAGGATGGTTTGGACTGACTGCTAAGGACATTGGCTACTTCCTGATGGCCTATCCTACTTTTATCAGCCTCCTCTTTTCCTTATCCACGTTTGGGCTTCCTGAGGGCTCTTCTCTGTAGCAGGTGGCGGATCCTTGTGCTCACTGCCCCACCTTGGCATTGAAGTGACCTTGGCAAAGGCGGTTTTCCCTTCTTTGGAAAGGGCTTCCTTTCACTCTGTCTAGCATGGTGCCCACTTGCCATTCAGGAAAGCCTATTACAGGCTTGAGGACTTTGTCTGGTTTGACTTCTCTAGTCCCTAATTCAAAACCTGGTATTGATCACTGGAAGATGATGAGTTATAGGGCAGATGATATCTTGGGGCCTCTGACTCCCCCTTTTATTCAGGGAGCTTTTGGCAGAAGACTGGGTTGTGCAGTGGTCACTAGCAGAGGTTTTAAAGTCAGGCAGGTATCTGTGGTGTCCTGTCTTTGCCGTGTACCAGCTGGGTGACCTATTTAATGAACCTCTCTGGGCCTCAGTGTTTCCATCTGTAAAAATGGGCATAAACAGCCATACAAATTGTAAGGATTCAGAAGAATAACATGTGAAGTGCTTAGCCTGGTGTCTGGCAAATAAGGAATACTTAATATAATTAGCTATTTATATTGCTAAAGCAAGAGATAAGGCATGTTGAACCTGGGTCTAATAAGCTCTAAGTGAGAAAAGGCATAGCTTATCTCTCTAGCCCTTGAAGGGTATTAATCGGAATTTACAGAGCATCTGTCAGTACCTGGCATGCCCTGAAGAAGAGGGAAGGACACTGCTGCTTGTTTAGTGCCTGGCTCTTTACATATAATATTATTTCATCCTCACAGTACCGCTTAAAAACAGACAAGACATATTCTATAACAATAATTTTCTATAATAATAATATAATAATAATGACAAATAATATAATAATGGCAAGTTAAATAACATAATAATGATAAATTAATAATATAACAATGGCAAATCAAATAATATAATCATTTCTTACATGCCAGGAATTGTTCTGTACATAAAAAACGAGTACATAAAAAGCCTCGTTTGATTCTTCTGACAATCCAATGACATATGTGTTACTATGTTATGTTATTGGAGGCGTATTCTCATTTTGCTCATGAGGAACCTGAGGCAAAACCGGGTCAGTAAGCTTGTGAGTAGCAGAAGTAAAGTTAGAACTTGGACAGTCTGCTTCTGGAATCCATGCCCTTAACCACTCTGCTGTAGAGAGAGAACCACAGAGACTTCCAGCTTACTTGCAGGCCCTGGTAAGACCCCAGTTCTACCCATTGAGCTAGAAGGGTGAGTGAGTCTCGGGAAGATAGAGCAACTTGCCCTAGGTCATCCTGCTTTGGTGTGATGGAACAGAATCAGGATGAGTTAGCTTCAGGGCTGGTGATCTTCCCAACCTTCATAGTGGCCTCCCTCCATCATTTACCCTGGCAGGTGCACAGGGCAAATAAGACATAGCCTGGGCCTTGCGGATTTTATAGTCTAGTTGGGAGGTATATCTGAGGTACCAAGGGCAACAGGACACAGTACAGAGAGGGCTGAAAGATAAGCTTGGGGCCTGCAGGAAGGGAAGGGCCATAATGGCTGGAGAAATCCAGAGGGCCTCCTGGAGGAGGATGGGCTTCAGAGATGGGCAGGACTGACTGGGTGGGGAGAAGAGGAGGTGAGATGACCATGAGAGGGAAGGATGAGGGCAGGGCCATGCTTTGGTAGAGAGCAAAAGATGATGTCACCACAGGGAAGTTGCACTTTCATGCAACAGATAATTGTCTCTGTATCTAGTATCTTCGTTTTCAAAGGTGGCGAGAACAAAAGCATCTTGCAGTTGAAGGATTGGCTTTGCTTGCCGGCTGGTGGATAAGAATTCTGCGTACACAGGCTCCCTAGGAGAAGCTGGGAGATGGTGTCCATAAAGACCTGGTTCATGGGGCACCTGGGTGGCTCAGTGGGTTAGGGCCTCTGCCTTCGGCTCAGGTCGTGATCCAAGGGTCCTGGGATCGAGCCCCACATCAGGCTCTCTGCTCAGCAGGGAGCCTGCTTCCTCCTCTCTCTCTGCCTCTCTGCCTACTTGTGATCTTTGTCTGTTGAATAAATAAATAAAAATCTTAAAAAAAAAAAAAAGACCTGGTTCATAACAGAGACTTGGGAAAATGACAGTGATTATTGTTATTAGCTTGGGGTTCAGAATATTCAACACAATAGTTACAGGGGAAGGGAGGTGGTTCTCATGGCTTCTTTCATTATGCAGCAACTCTGTTCAGCGAGTGACAGCCCTTTCCCCCCCAAGCCGTCTCTCCATGTCCATCAAATGTGAAAAGACCTAAGGTAGCCAGCAAACAGTTCTTATGTACAACCCCATTGTCAACTCCCCAAGCCCCTCACCTTGAACCTCTCCCACAAGCCTGCAGCTGGGCTGTTCCCCCACTGGGGGGCCTGTGCTCTGCAGCCCCACACCCCTCCCGAATTCCCTTCCTTGTGCTGGAATACCTGGGCCTTCCCCCAAGAGTGAACATTTATAGCATCTGCTCCATTAACGTGGTGTACAAATTATGACCATATGCAAAGAATTGTTTTAGAGGCATGCTCTGTGTTCGTTCAGAAACCCTGGCCGGCCGACCTTCAGATAAGGAATGCGCGTGAGCTATTTGAGGAGAGGTTAGCTTATTTTTAAGAAGCAGCTGCAGGGGAAAAAAATTATATATATAATACTTTGATATTTCCTGTTTTTAGGAGCCTGGTGTTCAACTTGCAACTCATTTCTTTAAAAAAGTAATTAGAAGTGATTGAAATCCTCTGTGGGTGTTTCAGATGTTTAAAAAGAAAGAGCAGGCGAGGCCCCTGGGAAGAGAGAGCAGCTCCAAGCTTACAACCTGTTGCAACTTTGCCCCATTGTGTTTTGATTAGAATCCTTGCTCCATCATCAAAGTTGATTATGGATTTGATTAGTGCATTTTTCTGCCATTGTGTT